CCCCCCCTTCCCCCTCTGAAAGTGGACCTCCGGCATCCCCTAGGAGGGGGTAGTGGGGGGTCCGGAGGCTTTTGGACATCTCCGAAGGGCGCTTCCCTCCCCCTCCCCCGTCATGGATGAGGGAAGCTCGGAACTGGCCAGGATGATTTGGGGGATGCTAGACCTCTGGAAACATCTGCTCTGCCAGTTCCCCACCTCTTGGGGGCCTGGAGGCCTTTGGGCCCCCGTTTTGCGAGAGGGACGTTTCCAATAACTTGACCTCCCGCATTTCTGGACCTCCATTTCATGGAGGAAGTGTCCCGTTTTTGAAAATACGCCCTTTGGTTTCTCAGAGCTTTGATTGGGACCCACCAGTGGAGTGGGGGCGCTGGCAGGGCACAACTGTCTCATTGGCACAGGCGCCTTCCTCCGGCGCCTTCCTCCGACGGGGGGGGGAAAGCCCACCTGGTCAGCAGAGGGATTCCGGTCCAAAGGGGGGGCACTGATCGGTTTTCCTTTTCTTTCTCCCCTCTTTGGGGGTCTTAGAGCTCTGGGTCCAATCTCCTGGTTCAAGGACTGGTGCACCAATGGGGCAGGGGGGGCTAGAAAGGGTGATGGGGGGCACCTCTCCTTCCTGCCAGCAGAAGCCGAGGGTGAGGCTCCAACCCCCACCGCCCTTTTCTCGTTCTGCTGGGGGGGCTGTTTCTCTTCGGGTTCCAAACGGTTTCCTCAGAGCTGGATCTTGTTCAAGTCGAGTAAGAAGACAACGCAGTGGGCCTCCAGGCCGCCCCATGGGTGTCACCCCTCCCTCTCTCTCCCCTCCATCCTGGCACCCCCTGCAACTCCCACCCCCTGTGTGAGCGTTCAGCACTCTGGACCCAACTGGACCCATCTCCGGCTTTGTTGGGATGATGATGAGGCCAACGCACATCTTTGCTAAGCACCAAAAGCAGGCAGAGCTTCCTTGCTCCAGCACCAGGAGCCGGTGGGGGTTGCACAGGCTGCCGAAAAGGGGAGAGCATGAGTCGGGGGGTTCCAAGGACCTGGAAATGGGCAGGAGTCTGGTAGGGTTTCCGAGACATGCAAGATATTGAAGGATGGGGTTCTACCAATGTCAGCCCCAAGTGGAAATTGGAACCCATGTCTCCTGAGCCCCAGTTGAGCTCGCTCTCCACTATGTCAGTGGTTCTCAAACTGGGCTCCCTGGTTGTTCTTGGACAGCCATTCCCAGAAGCCTCGACCACTTGCTCTGCTGGCCAGAATTTCTGGAGGTTGCAGTGCAAGAACATCTGGGGAACCCAGTTTGAGAACCACCATTGCACTATGTCACACTGGTCCCTCATATCATCTATCATGCATTTTGTTGTTGTTTAGTCGTTTAGTTGTGTCCGACTCTTCGTTACCCCATGGACCAGAGCACGCCAGGCCCTCCTGTGTCTTCCACTGCCTCCCGGAGTTGGGTTACATTCATGTTGTTGCTTCGATGACATTGTCCGTCCATCTCGTCCTCTGCCGTCCCCTTCTCCTCTTGCCTTCATTTCCCCAAAATCAGGGTCTTTTCCAGTCTTCTCTTCTCATGAGATGGCCAAAGTATTGGAGCTTCAGCTTCAAGATCTGTCCTTCCAGTGAGCACTCAGGGTTGATTTCCTTCAGAATGGATAGGTTTGTTCTCCTTGCAGTCCAGGGGACTCTCAAGAGCCTCCTCCAGCACCATAATTCAAAAGCATCAATTCTTCGGCAGTCAGCTTTCATTATGGTCCAGCTCTCACTTCCATACATTACTACAGGAAAAACCATACTACCTACTTATTTTATGGCTTGTTGGGTTTACTCAGAATGAAGGGCTACAAAAATCCGTGAGGGGGTGGATGCCTCCTGTGCTTGAGGTTCCAAATTCCATCATGGGCTTCTTCCAACAGAGGAAGCAAAGTTTCTTTCCCAAAATTCTCTCTCTCTTTCTTTTTGAAGCGGTTCTCCTCCATGGGCATCACTTCTGGGGTCTGCATTTGTATCCTCGGTTAAGAAACGTGAGCATGTGTCTGAGGGGCAAGTTTTCTTTAAATAAATCCTAACAAGATGAATCCCAGGCATTGCAGGATAATTTTTATAAACTGTCGTACTTTCGGTTCTGTTTTGTAGCTTGCCTCACCCCTCCCTTCTAGTTTCTCTGGCTCTGCCTCCCAACAACTCCTATTGGTGCATGCAAATACCTTCATACATATGCAAAAGGCAAGGTGATCACTACAAGTGGATTACAGCAGGTGTAGCTGGCAAGGAATACCTAGTGAAATGTCTCCTTCTAGGACACCACCAGTAAGACCATGGTCCTCTGACCGACCCATTGACACAACTAATCGAGGTGCAGGAGTCCATTTCCCTTTTTGCTTCTGAACACACTAAAAATTGCACCTGCACAGAAGAGATGATCTGTTGGAAGTCTGGAGCAGTTCTGCTTCCTCTAAGAGGCAAGCATTGTTTTGCCTTTTAAAAGGATAACACTATCCTCCCTGTGGGGAAAATATAGGTGAAATGTGTTGTTTTCTGGCTGCCTGATGTCTCCTTCCATAGAGATTGGGTAGTCTCAGGGTGGGGCAGGAGGAGCGAGTCTCTCTACCCTGTCCAGGCTGGCTTTAAGAGCTGCCTGCCCGGACATGGAATAAAACAGGCTTCGGCCCCAGGCGATGGAGGAAAACAGGCTGCTTTCACCTCCAACAAGCCTCAACCAGATTTTCCCATTTGCGAGAACTCGAAAAGAGCATTCTCCTCTTCCTGGATAAGTCCTGGTGGGGTGGGGTGCGGGGCTTTTATTCTGTCTTCTCTGCTGCCCCCCCGAGCAAAAGCTTCTTCACCCCAAGTCTCTGAATGGCAGTAGATTCTCTTTGGCACCACCAATTTCGGATCGTGATGCTGGGCGACTCTACCGTGGGAAAATCCTCTCTCCTGAAGCGTTACGCTGAGGGCGTCTTCCTCGATTCCATGGACCAAACCGTAGGTGTGGATTTTTATGTTCACTTTGTGGAGATTGAGCCTAACCTGCGAATCAAGCTGCAGTTCTGGGATACAGCTGGCCAAGAGCGTTTTAGGTGAGTTCCTGCTGATCAAGAGTTTATCTACACAATGGTATGGTCTAAAAATGATAAGCAGCATTCCACCAGGAAACTACAAAACTGAGGGTGGACCTCTATGTTTTAGCTATCTTCTATATTTTTATCTAGTCCTTTCTCCGACATGTCTTTTGTTTAGAATGGGAACAAAACCCCATAAAATTGAAAAACTTTAGAAAAGAGGCAACACTTCTGGATCCAGAAATTAGGGTTATTGAAAAACTTTAGAAAAGAGGCAACACTTTTGGATCCAGAAATTAGGGTTCCATGCTAGTTGAGAAACAGTAAGGTTCCCCGTAGCAATTCAACAAGGCAACAACTGACCCTTTTTTGCTGACATATTACATGACTTCTCTTTGTAAGTCACTGATCCAAGTGTATGTTTTAAGCAATTAACCACATCCTTCATAGATCCAGAACAATCTTGATTAAGGTGCTGTTCAGTGCTTTCTCTTTTTTTAAAAAAAAATCAGAATAAAACAGAGCAAAGTCCAAGACCCACATTTCGTTAGCCTCTTCCTGGAGATGAAAAGCAGCATAGTAGTTGTTGAACATTTATCGATTGAAATGTTCTTTATTTGTTGAAAAAATCCATGTATAAGCAAAACTGTGCTGCTGAACCCCCTGCAATTCAAGGGAGGAGTGTATTTGTTTCAACCATGCAATTCAAGGGAGGAGTGTATTTCTTTCAGTGTATTCTGGAAGGCTTTCATAGCCAGGATCTGATGGTTGTTGTGGGTTTTTCAGGCTCTTTGAAGGTTGTTCTCTTTCTGAAGGTTGTTCTTCCTAACATTTCGCCAGTCTGTGTGGCTGGCCTCTTCAGAGGACAGGAATCAAAACTCTTGTCTGTACTCTGGTGCAATTTGCTTGGATAGTTGAGTATTTATAGTTGTGGGATCAGCTTTTGTCCTGTTCAGGAGATTGGGTGATTATGGTGATCAGCATGTTTTTTTTGTTGTGGGTGTATAAGGGGGAGAGATTATCTGTCACTGTGACTGATAGGTGTTATTAGCTGGTCTTTTGTGTGTAGTGGAACGTTAGGAAGAACAACGTTCAGAACACGGCCAAAGAGCCCGAAAAACCCACAACAACCATGTATTCATTTCATTCAGAGGACATGAATCCACTGCAACCTAGAAACACAGCAACGAGTGACAGTAAATATTGAGCTAATCAAGGGTGAATTCTGAATTAGGAATAATTTGAGTGTGTCTGGGGAGATGCAAAACATTTTTTTTGCCCTAATGAATATCTGCCTCACCACTCAGTTAAAATCAGCAAAGTGTGACATGCAAACATGTGTGCTAGAGCGCATGCTTTGCCTGAAAGGGAAAGGAGGTGCGGAGTTTCATGGCTGCTGTCTCCGGTTTCTACCTATCATAATGCTCCTCAAATCTGTTCCTCCCCTTGAGTCCCTCACTTACAATGCATTCAGGAAATTTGACCTCTTATTTCTGGCACCACAGAAAGATTAAATGCAGATCAGTAGCAAATGGATTTTCTGAATCCTATTTGTGGGAAGGGAGAATTGCGTTAATACACAGCCAGTAAATTGCATTAACACCCAGAATTAAAACACAGCTAATTCCTCTCCCTGTTTTGTTGTTGTTTTGGTTACCGTATTTCTGAGCTGTGAGATGGAGTGTCATAAGCTAACAAAGTAAATTGTTAAGCTTCAAAAAATGGGGACAACTCACTCCCAAATAATTGATTAAATTTAACATATCGGGCAAAAACAAAAGAAAAATAATAATAACAAAAGAGAATAAAGAAAGTTATATTTTAATGTGAGCTTTCGTGGCCACCTCCACTTCCTCAGACAACTGGTTAAGTTTACAGTATGTGGTTCATTCCAAACGAAGACTCAGTCGTTGGCCAGTCGTGGCAGGAGGAGGGGGCAACAGCTAGCCGCTGCTGAATTAAAAGCTGCCAACAGAGAAAGGCTGGTTATGGCTGTTCTCTCTCCATCTGGCAGCTTTTGGAATTTCCTGGCAAAACACCAGCAGGGATGGTGGAAAGGATGAAGGGAAAAAAAAGAAAGAACGTTGGCACCTTGTTTCCTGCAATTTATCAAAGTGTGGTAGAGACATCCTGGCTTCTCAGAAAAACAAGATTTCACTGGCTGAGAATGGATTAAATGGGGATCGGCTCCTCTGTTTCCTACCGTTTCTTCTAAAAACATGGCAGCTTGAGATTAAATATATTTGTTGTTTAGTCGTGTCCGACTCTTCATGACCCCATGGACCAGAGCACACCAGGCCCTCCTATCTTCCACTGCCTTCCGGAGGTGGGTCAAATTCATGTTGGTTACTTCACAGACACTGTCCAGCCATCTCATCCTCGGTCGTCCCCTTCTCCTCTTGCCTTCACACTTTCCTAACATCAGGGTCTTTTCCAGGGAGTCTT